TGTCTCCCAAAGTACATTCAGCGAACATTGCTGCGTCTGAGCCTCCGAAGCACGCCTGGTTCGTGCACCTATGCTGACTTGTTCATCGACGGCGAAGGCTAGAATTTGCACGCCAGTACAGCAGCTGGACCGTCCACTGAGTGGCGACAGGTTGCGTTTCGATGAATCGCGTTTATGCTCCATCGGACAGATGGACGTTGGCGTATAAGGCGTAAAACCTCTGAAAGGAACCACCCTGCAACCATTGCCGGAACGGTCCAAGCTGGAGGCGGGAGCATTATGGTCTGGGGAAAGGGTTTTCCTGGCATTCTCTAGGTTCACTGATCATTGTGGAAGGCACAATGATCAATACATACGCATCTGTCCTTTGCGGAACCATGTTCACCCCTACATGCGCATTGCTTTTCCTCAGGATGATGGCATCTTCCAGCAGGAATGCGAGGTGCCATACAGCTGCCAGTGTACGTGCGTGGTTCGAAGAGCACCGGATGAGTTTACCGTCCTCCCCTGGCCAGCAAACTCACCTGACTTAAACCCTCGAGCATATGTGGGACCATCTCGATCGAGTTTGTTCGCGCCATGGATCCTCAACCGCGTAATCTAGCGCAGGCTGCCACGGCATTAGAGTCGGCATGGCTCAACATCCCAGGAACACCTTCAGGGACCTATGTGACTCTCTTCCTGCACGTCTCGCAGCAGTCCGCTCTGCGAAAGGTGGTTATTCTGGCTTTTGACAGATGGTCACATTAATGTGACTGGACAGTGTACTTTATTCTGTTAATCGATTGCCGATGGTAAATGGACGAATTTGTTTTTGGATGCGCCATCCCTCTGTGTGACTCATTACATTATTTCCGGAGATGATTTCATGAAAAATAATTTATCCGTCATGCTTCTTCATTTATAGCAATTTCGGATATTACGCGCTTGTGTCTTAAACTTGCGTATCTGAGAAAGAATTCAAAAAATAAATTACTATACATGATTATCCGAAAAGTAACAGAACACTATCAAAGTATTTTTAAAAATAAATGTTTCAATAGCACGGTTGAAATATTTCCACTGTTTGAGGAATATATCCTGATATTTCCTTGGCTAATTTCCTAAGTCCTTTTATAATACACCTATTACCAGTGATATAATTAAGTTCTTCTAAGACAAATTGCTGAAGTTGTTGTGTTGCACTGTTTAACTTTGTCCAGACTTTGTAGGAAGGAAGGGAACAAGAACTTTGGTTGAAGTATTCCAACAAAGAGGAGTTACACTATGTTAAGGGGACTCGTACACCTTAAAACCCATAAGATCTTCGAATATGTGACTGTTGCAAGAATTGGGATAACTTATTTATTTTAAAGGCAATTACTTCCAACTTTTTACAGCTGACTACATAATATAGCTGCTTTCTGAAATAGTGATCAGAAAGTTTGTGTTGCCACAAATATTTTTATAATTTAATCCGCTTTTTGACAAAATTTTTCGTCATGTTTCGTCATGCACACTTTAAAACATTCTGTTGCATAATTTAATTCTATATTTAATATATAGCTTTTATAACATTTGGAAACTACTGTGAACCAAAAATTCTAAGAATTCCATGTTAAATTTTTATTTTATTTGGAGTCGAGTTTATAAAATGTATTTTATTAAAAAATCTGTAATGTTTTCGTCCATAAAATTTTTTAATATTAAGATATTCATCAGATTTTTCGTTCAGTTAAAAAATAGGGCTCATATTAAGAATTCCATCTAATTTCAAGTATGTACCATTAGCCATTTTTAAAATATCGTGCTCGCAAGGTGGAAACGTGACGAAAATTTTGTCACAAAGCGGATTAAATTACAAAAATATTTGTGGCAACACAAACTTTCTGGTTACTAGTTTCCAAAGCAGCTATATTATGTAGTCAGCTGTAAAAAGTTGGAAGTAATTGATTTTAAAATAAATAAAATATCTCAATTCTTGCAACAGTCACATATTCGAAGGGTGTTAAGAGGTTTAAGGTGTATGAACCCCCTTAAGAGTTCCGACGCTTGCAAGTTTACTACTAATCTATAAAATTACTTACTAAGTTTGTTCTAAGTTTACTACTTGCAAGTTTACTACTAATCTATAAAATTATTTACTAAGCTTGTTCTAAGTTTACTACTTGCAAGTTTACTACTAATCTATAAAATTACTTACTAAGTTTGTTCTAAGTTTACTACTTGCAAGTTTACTACTAATCTATAAAATTATTTACTAAGCTTGTTCTAAGTTTACTACTTGTTTACTTCTCGAAAATCTGAAAAAGAAGATTATCAAAAATGAGAGTGATGCAAGATTCTTTTTTTTTTTTTTTTTTTCTTTTTTTTGGGGGGGGGAGAGGGGGGAGGACAAAGTTTTCTAATTAGAGAATGGGTTCATTGAAATAGATTCTGATTTAAAAAAAAGGTAATCTAAAGTTTCAAACACAACTTTGTATAAGATATTCCACATCCAGTTATCAAAAGCAACTGCCAAAGAAAAATATTAATCGGTGGTGTGGTGTATTTAATTATCGCAAAGCACGCTAGGGCTATCTGCCTAAGGGGAGGGATGTCTTCGTGGAGGACTTTCTAAGGGAAACTGGCTCGTATACACTTTACACATGGGGAAAACCACGAATACACCCATGCAGCCAGCCCGTTCGTGGGATTCGAACCTAAGCTCGGAACAAACTACCAGTGTTCAGCGACTTTACCGCTCGGCCGCTGGTGGGCCAAAATATTAACCGGAATGATCGTTATGTTTCAAAATTTTAATAGAGTGCTTATTTGAGAAATTTTGAATGCTGATATTTAGTAGGAAAATTATTTTGCTTGCATACCATTCTAAAATCCTTGTGTTTGAACATTCAAAATATTCAACACTTTCTTTAAATATTTTACTGTATTTAAGGAGTAACCGCAGATTTAATGATTTTCAATTTTTTAACGAACGTAACGGATTCTTTAATTTGAGGAATGAAGGCTCGATTAATTTTTCATTCATACATTTTAAAATTTTTAACGAACGTAACGGATTCTTTAATTTGAGGAATGAAGGCTCGATTAATTTTTCATTCATACATTTTAAAATTTTTAACGAACGTAACGGATTCTTTAATTTGAGGAATGAAGGCTCGATTAATTTTTCATTCATACATTTTAAAATTTTTAACGAACGTAACGGATTCTTTAATTTGAGGAATGAAGGGTCGATTAATTTTTCATTCATACATTTTAAAATTGTTTACAAGGTAAAAGAAATCAGTTAGTTACATAGAGTTAGAAGTCTCAGTAGTTAAATTCTATCACCTTGACACTGATCATTAAAAAACATATGGTGTGTGAGTTGTTTCTTTCCTCTCCGTAATTTTATGGTGTAAGTGGTACCCCTACATTACGTTTCACATGAAAAATACCGATTCCAAAAATCAGCCACATGGGGCGAACCACTTCCTTTAGCTACGTCAATGGTTTCTCGTTAGCAAACATTCAAACATGAAAGAGCACGATTTGCGTCTTTTCCATATTCCCTTCAAAATTACTTTGACGAAATCATTTCTCAAGCTGCATTCCTGCTAATCCATCATTTCAGTACAGCGTTTATGAAACATGCAACATACATATCTTCGCCTGTTCAGAAAAACTAAAAATTGCACACTCAAACAAAGGTCATGATCCCTTTCTTATTTGACCCTGAAGGTATTATTCCTACCATTTTATCTCCCCTTCGGGGTTGCATACACTGTTTTAGTACCATACTATGAGAGTAGCGGCTCTGGGAACAAAATGACAGGAACCTAGTTCCTAATGCCTGATAGGGCAGCCTATGTTTCGGGCGGTTGTGGCTTCGACTATACAAGTATGTAACCAGTCTTTGTTGCCTTCCCCATCGTGGTCTCCGACACCCGAGGTGCCACGAGTGCCCGGTGTGCTGGTTCAGCGACGGGGTCCTGAAAGAGTTCGTTTTCTGAATTTCGGGATTGAGGTCCCCGATTCGTAGTGATAAGGAATTTGTTCTGTCCTCTCTACTAGATGATTCACGTGTAATTTAAACCTCCTGCCTAATATGGAGGGTCTTCAGTTGGGAATTCTGTCTTTCCTAGTTGTTTTTTGTCCCTGGAAGGGCGCAAAAATTTGGTTGATTGGTACCATGTTTATAAAAAAGAAACACTATTAATATCAATTGTTACTGCCAAACACCGATTTTTTCTTGCAAAGCCATATAAAACAAAAGGTATGAAATGTTACCTCGTTCTCAATGATGCAATCCCAAACAATTGACTCACAACACAAACCGTGTTTTGAAGTTTACGAGAGATGACTAGATGCAAATGATGGTTTTTATAAGGTCCAAATTAACATAGCCCTTGGTCAAGGAACCGTACGTTTAGCTTGACTTTCAAAAGAGTGTTTATAAAAATTACTTGGTAATGCTGATTACGTATGTGATTATTTTTGTATCATACAATACTGAAAGCGACGCTCAATAAAGTCTTCTTAGCATAGAGCAATCAATACAATAAGTCTAAAATAGATTTAGGGATTTAATGCTTGTAAAAAAATGTTTACTTCTATCAGGAAGTATTATAGAGTAAATCTTTATACCCACCTATTATTTGTTTTCGTGAACTCAACATCATGTAAGTGCTCATGATGTCTTGGACAATATAGTCGCTAATCAGATAGGAAAAGCTTTTCGTATGCCTGAATATGAAATAAAAAACTTGCATATTCAAGTTTGCAAGTAAAGTAGTAAACTTGCAAGCGTAAGTTACTACTTACTAAGCTTAGTAAGTAATGGAATCACTATAGAATAATTTTTAGATTAAATTAATAGAACGATTTTTTAAAAGCAAAAGTAATCTGTGTGAGCTATAAAAATGTAATTATTTTCCATTGCTGATGCTTTTTTTTTTTTAAACAAAAGCAAAATTTCATGTAATAGAAGTTATATGCTATTTGATACGTATCTTATTCCTGTTTGTTTATTTTAGGTAAGTGTCAGCAGCTTTTCTCTGAAAAATTTTGTGTAAAGAGTAAGTATTGCAATTTTTTATTTATTTTGTGTAAATATACTCTTTTTTCATACTTTTGTAATAAAATTGCACAATGTTCATGAAAAATTTTCTAGGTGAAATTAAATGTTTAGGACTTGTTAGAAAAAATTCCATTTTATGACTTTGCAATTTTTCGAAGGTGAGAATCTTATCATCTTAGCGTTTCTGGATTAAACCTTTTGCGAGGATTTTTTATTTTGAGTTTATTTGACATAAAACCGAGCACAGTTATTTTTGTTACTTATTATTACTGTTCATGTACATTATTAAAAAAATTCAAAATTTAAAAAGGTTCAAAATTCGTGGTATTTTTCTTTATAAAACTAACCAACCAATAATAATTTCAAATCTGAGAACTAAAACTTAAAATTAGCCAATGAAAATTAAGCTGAACCCAAACGAAATCATACTGAATAGGGATTTCATCTTTGGAATATCTCATTCTCTCTCTCGCTTCGCTTGCTGCTGCTTATTAATCTATTGAAATTAATCGTTATGGATGTGCAGAATACATAATTGAAATCAAGAACTCAAATTGCTCCCATTACACTATGTAACACTTGTTATGAATGTGTTTCTCAAGGAAGTATTTCTCAAAGTGTTAAATCTGCCATATGAATGCTGATTTAAGTTTCATGGCATAATAATAAATCATTACGCACACACGTATTAAATGTATAAAATAAAGTTATGGAAAGCGAACTTCAAAATTTAATTGGCTGTAGTCCCTTTTATTCTTTATTTAAATTTGGGAACTTCCTCTTTCTGTAGTAAAAATAATAACTATTTATAACAAACCGATTTAAAATGCGTCATTTCACAATTAATCCGCTGCATTAAACTGCGTAACACTGCAACGCAGACACCTCTTATCCTATCAAGTGAAAATATTTCTATTAAAAACTAAAACTTTTTTATTCTCTCTCGCACATTTCGTCTGAATGCATCATCTTCGCCTTGATGCCGCTGCATTTTATAAAATATATTTTACAACTCTGTCGGTGCCCAATGTGAGAAGTCTTTTAAAGTCAACTCGCTGTAGTGCCTCTTTTTGTGTGTATTGGATTAATAAAAAAATGTATGTAAAACATGAATAAAAATGAAATAATCGAATTCCGCCATACCTGCAAGTTTGAGCTTATGTATGCATCTATCTACGACGACATAAACTTTCGCCAAAATACTGCAGTGGTATATACTATATATGTTTTCGAAAGCAATTTAAATTCGTCAACATATATCCATTATTGCTTAGGTCCGAAAAGTTTCCACTGTTTAAGGACAGTATTCGTTACTTCCTTGTACGAAGTAAAAAGGAAGTATTGTAATCGCGAAAAGTTTCAGGCAGCATATTTCAACGAAAATATCCATTTTGACCGCTATCGAATGCAATTTATCGATGTTTTTGCGTGATATCTGTACGTAAGGACAGAATAAAAGACTCTTTTCTCCAAAAAAACTATAAAACTGCTTTAAAATGAATTCTGAAGAGAAATTTTCGTGGCGTCTGTACGAACGTATGTACGTACGTACGTATCTCGCATAACTCAAAAACGAGTAGCAGAAGAACGTTGAAATTTTGTATATAGGACTGCTATAACATGTAGATGTGCACCTCGTATTTTGGTTGCAATCGGCCGCACCAAACGTATATAAATATATTTATATATGTATATATATATCCACTCTGTTACCCGGCTCAGTGATCTCAGTTTCTTTACTCTTATATGTTTGTAAATTGTGCATTTTTTGCTTTAAAAATGATTGAATTATGTTGTTTTTATCTTCCGGTTGAGGTTTTTATGCCTTTAGTAAATCTCTATGCAATATTTTTAGAATTATCAAACAATTTTAAAGTTGTTTAAGTGCCGCTAAGCCTAATCCTTTTCTTGATGTCGGCCATTGTTTGTTTACATTTGAAACAGCAGACTAGTGGATTTGTTGCCAATCTAGAGAAACGTAGCTTCGCAACAACAAAGACAACGCCTTCATTTATGATTGCCAATTAAATCATGCTTAATCCTTTCTGGAATTTTTTCGAGCAAATAAGTGTTTAAGATTTACTTTGTAATTTTTAATACAGATATTTTGAGTTTGTATGCACTTTTGCCTTCTCGAAGTGAGAACTGAATTGAATGAGAAATACTCAATCGTCTGTGAAAAATTGTTTCTTTTTTGTTTTGTTTGCTTAAATTTTTTTATACATCATTCTAGCTTTATTATAGTACTTGAATAGAACATGTGGCAACGATTAGATAATTCTATTCTTTAAATGATATAAATTTTGTGCATTATGAGTTATAATATGAACGAAATATAATACTGTTAAGTGAATCTAGCGCCAGAGTGTCGCTATGGTAAAACAAATACTAGAGTGAATTTTAAAGAATGCATTTATTCTATTGTGGTTTATGCGCTGTCGGCGAAGTAGATTTAATTCAATCCAATAAGTTTAAATGAAAGGCAAGAAAAATGGTGTATAATTTAATATTCCGTACAAGGAAGTCATGTGGTGTACACATCAGACTTTTTTAATTTGGTTAGTTGATACCTTGTGTTTATTAAGGAAAATATGCCTTTAAACTGTTACTATAATTTAATTCATCTCCAAACTTATAATGTCTTTATTTATATTAATAAGAGCGTCAATAGGTCGTAGTTCATCATCCTTCCGCTTCTTGCATAATAAAACCACTAAATACATGGATCGCTCCAATATTTCTGTAGGATTCGCACGCTCTCTGCTCCAGATAGCAGTAGATTACAGAGTAGAAAATATTATTATTTTTTATTCATTTCTCTGTGTAACATCTTTTTCACGATGTTAAGACATCAAGTCACGACTCCCCATTAAAAAATGGCGGGGGTTGCGCTGCACCGCTACGCCCTTGGACTGTGGGCGCAACCTGCATTCCTCGAAGTGAATCCTTTAATTTTTGTGGATAACTGAGGTCCACCCTCAACACGTGACTCACTCGTCGACCTTTTGTTCTCGAAAATCGTCTACCGGTGTCGAGGGTGGAAGGCATGCGGGATGTCTGCTTTGTTTGCAACACTCGAGACTTCTGTATTTCGTCGTCCAAAATGAAAAGCAACAGCCACGGACCGGTCCATGCTTTTGGGTGGGTACCTTTTAAAGGAGACCGGATGAACTTGAAAGAAAATTATTTTTAAGTGAGGGCTTAAGAGTCCATCCTTAGAAAATTGTGTTTGCAGAAGCAAGGAGGGGGAGAAGAAAGCGGTTTTTTGTTGGAAACAGTGGGAGAGGGTAATAACCAACCAGTACCGACGTTTTTCAAGTTACTGATATCAACTAATGAGTGCATATGAGCAACAGCGATGCTGACGGAACATCTTTAACATAAATGTGCATAAAATTATGAGGATCAGCTTACATAAATGCATTGTTACATCTTCGGTATTTCGTGAAACGTTTATTACAAGAGCATTAATACAATTTTTTTTTTAACTTATAAAAGTGGGCAACTACACATTCTTTCCCTTAAAAATTTTCACGACTGCCGTAAAATGACGGCACCTTGTAACGAAATAACCAAGTGTTGATTTAAGGGGACTCATACACCTTAAAACCCATTAGATGTTCGAATAGGTGACTGTTGCAAGAATTGGGATAACTTATTTATTTTAAAAGCAATTACTACCAACTTTTTTACAGCTGACTACATAATATAGCTGCTTTCCAAAATAGTAATCAGAAAGTTTGTGTTGCCACAAATGTTACTATAATTTAATCCGCTTTGTGACAACATTTTTCGTCATATTTCCAACTTGCGCGCACAGTTTAAAACATTCTGTTTCATAATTTAATTCCATATTTAATATATAGCTTTTATAACATTTGGAAACTACTGTGAACCTAAAATTCTAAAAATTTCGTGTTAAATTTTTATTTTATGTTGAGTTGAATTTATAAATGTATTTTTATTAACAAAATTTGTTATGGTTTCATCCATAAAATTTTTCAATATTAAAATATTCATCAGATTGTTGGTTCAGTTAGAAAATAGTGCCCGTATAAAGAATTCCATCCAATTTCAAGTATGTACCATTAGCCATTTTTAAAATATCATGCGCGCGAGGTGGAAACATGGCGAAATATTTTGTCATAAAGCGGATTAAATTACAAAAATATTTGTGGCAATACAAACTCTCTGGTTACTATTAGTTTCCAAAGCAGCTATATTATGTAGTCAGCTGTAAAAGTTTGGAAGTAATTGCTTTTAAAATAAATAAAATATCCCAATTCTTGCAACAGTCACATATTCGAAGATCATGAGGGGTTTAAGGTGTATGAGTCCCCTTAAACTTTTGAAGCCTGTTATAGTCACTCAGCTGTAATATTTTTTAAGAAGTTAATTTTGATTTTTTTTTTTTTTAATCTAAAAGCTTTTTTTAGTTGATTTGTGTAGTCTATTTTTGTTTTCAGTTACCAACTGTCTGAGATGTAGCTTCGAATTTCGCCACTTTATTCTCTATCTAGGTAATTTAATATATATTTGTCATACTTATGCTTAATTAAAACTAAAAATTAAAGTATAGATTAAGAATCATATCACTCGTGGTATTATATTTTATTACCAATCCATATAACTCTTTTTCCATCTACAGAAATATATTTAAATTCAGATGTAATCAAAAATATAAAAGTTCGATAAAAATATAATTTTATTAAGTATAATCTTTCGCCGAACTGAAATGCACCGTAAATAAATGCAAGTTCATAGCTGCACGTTTTCCAGATTTCTCAACTTTTTGTAACAAAATTTATCAACAAGCGATTACACAGAAAAATAAATTCTGTACTACTGGTTAAAAAAAATTGAAAACTGCAATCTAATTTTTCTATTGCGGTTTAAATTTACCATGCAAATGGTTGAGACCATCAACTGCTATGAAATTCAAGTGAAATATATATTTTTTATAATAATTCGACTCTGGTTCCGGGAATCAAGTTGACG